ATTTTGAGTTATGCAAGGTACTTAACTGTACCTAAACTGAGACTACATCTGCCCTTAAACAACAACAACAAAATACTACCTTAGCTTCTAATGATATATTCTTTTCTCCCTGCTCATACCCTCTACTATCTTAACAACCTCTGTCCTCAAAGGTATTTGTGCTTTTTGCTTTGCATCAAAACAAATTTTTAAAAGCCTCAAAACTCTCCTAGGATATAGGTGTTTTGAATCCATGACAATGTTTTGTAGTTAATAGTCACTGTTTAAATTGTTGCATATCTACCCCTAAGTCAGAGGCAAGGAACATCTTTATTTTATTCGATGCCCTTCAAGTTTCAAAAGGTCCCGTTTCTTTTTTATTAACCAGGGGGATAAGGCAGAACTCAGGATGGCTTTGGCTCTGATTAGATAACTTCTGATGTTTTTATTTCCTTTAGTGAGCTGCTGCTTCTGGGTTGAACTCCTTTGATTTGCCTGCCCATTTTTAAAGAGCCTGACAGAGTTGATCTAGCAGATGAGGGCTCTAAGCTCAGAATTAGTCAAAGGTTCTCACATGCAGAGAAGTGGATAAAAATAGAGGGAGGGTTGGGAAATATAGCTAGGACACCTGTGTTAATAGTGCATCTTAGTAAAGGCCAAATTTCCTCATTTATCTCTAATTGAAAGATTCTGATAGTTTCACATGTTCCAACTGAAAGCACGTCAGAAGTGGGTGATTCCCCCTGAGCATTACATAAAAGGATGTATTGGTCCATCACAAGAGTGAACATTGAATCCTGGACTGTTTTCCGTGGTTTCATGAGAAGAGCTTGCTTATAATGAAATCAAAGGTCTAATCGTGTGTTACCATGTGAAAACTACTGTGGCCATCAAGTCTGTGCTTTTCCTGTGAGTGGTCAATCTTGGTTTTTATTCTTCAGATACAGGCCTGGCATATATTAGTGGGAACAGGCACAGAGGGATACAATGAGTTTTCCCAGCATGAAACAACCACCTCATTAGAAGTTCTAAATATTTATTTAAGAATAGTTGCTCCCCAGGTTTGCGAGTTGTTTCTTGATTGTAAAAATGAATGAAAAGACTTCCTGCTTATCTCCAGGTGTCTAGTAGGGACGTGGCATTTTGCTTGAATTATCAGTTTGTCTTTGGGGGATTCTGCTTTTAGAAGTTTTAATTAAAAGGTGTCTTGTTCTAAAGTATTTCGTGATCTACATGTGGATTTTTGATTAAAAAGTACCTCATTTTAGTTACTAGGAAGCAAAAGGGTTTTCTGATTCCAGAGAAGTTTTATATAACAATTCAAAAAGTAGAAGAGAGCTTCAGTTCTTCTTATCATTGGATTGTTTTGAGTCCAATATCATGACTGAAAACCTTAAGATTGTCTGATTTATAAAAACTTATCACTAAGAGGAAAATGGGTTAATGGTAGAATCTATGCTCATCAGTCCTTTGGAACTCAACTGAGTGTATTTATAAGGTCTGAGCCCTGTCTTCCTCTATCTTTGTTTTGCAAATTTCCTGAAATATAACACCCTGGTCATTAAGGCCACCTTTACTCATATTAAGCAAGCTTTTTTTTTTTTTTTTTGCCATTTAGAGGTAAATGTGTTAGAAATGAACAGTTAGTATTGTGTGTAATCAGTGCTCCACGCTTTCAGAGGGGTTTGGATCCAAAGAGTGAGAAGAGTACTCTTATGATATCCACCTGAGTACGTCTCTACAGTAGTTGGAAAAATCACTTAGTGAGTCTTTGTGTTTTTTAATCAGATATGTGGCAAGAAGATCTATATTTCAGATATTTTGAAGAAGAAAAGGACTAAATTTGTTCTCTATATTTGATTTTTTTCCATTTTTTAATCTTGTTAATATTTTAAAACAAAACAAACAAATCCCCCTTTGGATCCATGCAGTAACCCAAAGCCATATTTCCTTGGCAACAGTAGCCAGTATGCTGGAGTTACAAAATACCAAGACGGAAAATTTTAAATGCAGTCAGAATAAAATGTCACATGGTTCAAGACCATTCTTTGGTGCATTAAAATTGACCTTCCAGCATTTAATAATAGAGTTGCCTTTGTCCTGATTTACTGTAGATGGTAAAGGACCGATTATAGATTTTAATTCTTTTTAGGATGTCCTAAAAATCCTATAATGTTTTTCTTTTTTGAAGGAAGCATGTTATAGAAATGATTTCGGTTGGGGTTATAAATTCATTCTCTGCATAAGGTATTTATGTGGAGGTTGACCCTAAGTTCAAAATCAAGCTCAATAAATACGTCAAATAAGATGCACTGTCTTTTTTAATGCTATTTGAAATAGATGGTTTATAGTAAGGGCTCCAATTAGCATTAAGTTCATCCAGTTGATTATCTACTAAAACTTGTGGCTGTGTAATGAAAACATAGTAGTGCCTCTCACCCTTTTTTGTACTAGAAATTTAATTTATGTGGGAGCTTTCTGTTTTCTTTATGAACTACTAAATATGTATATAGAGTGTATATATTTTCTCTGAATTGGCAAATCCTGAGATGTCCTTTATTTGTCTGCTGTATTCTTTGAAAGCCTCTTGGGAGCCACTAGTTTTTACCTCAGTAAATATTGAAGGACTGGGGGCAGGTCTTGAAAAGAAGACAAAGAGGTCTTCCGAGGGGAGGCTGATTCTGGTCCTGTGATTTTTAGTACACACGCAGGGATGGGTGAGCCCATTTAAGCAGATCTGTGATGGACTCATTTCTAAGCAGTGAGTAGCAATTTTATCATCCTGGATCTATGACTTTCTGAACTGGGCCAGAGCTTGAGGGCAGTCTGTTTGACTCTAGCTGTTTAATCTGACTGATGTGGAAACTCAATCTCAGAGAAGTGACTTGTTCAGGATCAGGAGACTCATTCAACAAACCCTGTTGATTGCTGCTCTCCTAAAGAGACTCAGATTCCCTGGAGATAATTTCTGTGGTGGCGTCAATCCCTGGCGCCACGTGTTCTGATCATCTTTATGGAGTATGAGTTGGAGATGATTTGGGAGCAGCGGGGGTGGGGGGGACACCCACTTCCCACAGGAATGTTTAGAAAAGCAGCATTGGGGCTTATTACAATCTCTCTCCTGGAGCCAGTGCAATATTTAACCAATAGATGTGATTAAATTTGTACAAACTCATTGTCTGCATCCATCTCTGTTCATGTGCATGTTTTGTGAATAATTTCCCCTGCACCGAACCGTCTTAGCTTTCTATTTCAAATGTCAGAATTGAGTCAATAAAGTAAACAAAGAGATTTCATAAGTGTTCACAGTTCCAAGAACCACAGGGGGAATCCTTTACTCTGTTTTAAATTAAAGGTCCATTTAAAAAAGAAGAGACTTTCCCCAAAGTTGCTATTTTACATATCTCTGATTCATAATACAAATTTACCTAACTTTATTTTTCTCTTAGAAAACTAGAGAAATTTCTCCTTGGAAACATTAGGCTGAGGGGAATACAGTATTTCTGTTTAACCCTAGAATCCTTCTCAGGTTTAAGGTTAATTGAGCAAAAGGCCGTCCTTATCCAAAAGACCCCAACCTCTGTGGGGCAGCTCTTTGCTCCTTGAAGGACAAGAGGAGCAGAAGCTGGTTAGCAGGGACTCAAGGCAGGCAAGCCCCAAGAGCTGGTGAGTCCAGGAGAGAGAGAGTTAGCATTGGAACAGGCGGTCGCTAGAGGGCGCCGGAACACCGATGGAGCCCACCTCCGGGGGACTATGAGGTTTGCTGGAACCCCAGATATGTGCCCAGGTAAGAGGTGGCTCCTCTGACCCCCAGGGCAGATCGTTCCACGGTAGAAAGGGGACAAAAAGTTTTGTTTCAGCTTTCCGTGGTGTATCTCTTCTTGTGCCTGGTTAGGTTGCTTGGTGGCTGGACAGCCTGACTGCTCTCAGAACTGACAGATCTATTTGGAATTCAACTGCCCCTTTTCATTCTTGATACTTAGGCCTGTTTTTTGGAGGAAGAGCTCAGGATCCAGAAATACCCAGTTTGAATCTTGGACATACCATTTTTTTAAGCTATAGATCTTTGTGTGAATCACTGTCTTCCATGGGACTAGTGATGGTTATGACTGTGGAGTGTTTTCAAGGGTCTGTCTTGTGTGTCGGCAAGCAAATGCTGGTTCCCGTGCCAGTTCTCTTGTGAGCTCTCCGCAGAACTTCAGCCTTTCCTTTTTCTCAGAGCCTCTCCCACATTCCCCTACCCTCTCCTTCAGCAGAAAGTTCTCATTCATTCATCCGTTGAATAATAACGGACCCCAGTGTTTCTGCCCAAAGCTATGCTTGTTACTGGGGGTAAATGTGAAGTTCTTACAGTTTGATGTTCCAGGTTTGAGGAGCAGACAGGGTTATGAGAAGAAGCATTAAAACCCATAGTGGAAGTGTCAAAAGAAAGATGAACAAATGATTCAGGGTAAGAGAGAAAGGGAGCCAGTTCCTCCATCTCAAAGAATCTGGAAAATGGTCCTTTTACAAGTCCTGTCACATCAGGTATTTTTTCATTTCCTATTTCAAGGAACCCTTGTCTGTTGGTGGAGGGCAATTCTGTGGGTGAGGAAGGGGGAGTGGTAAAATATCATTCAGCAGGCATTTTGGTTTATTTAAATATAGATACATTTGACATTGCTAATAGAGATTTTTAAAACCGAATCAACTTGTACCATCGTCCTGAGGGTATTAGTTTCATCAATATCATAATAAAATAAAGGCCTAATTGGCTTAATGCATTTATACAAGAAAATGATTTGGAAGGAAATGTAATAGAAATACAACCACAACTACCAATAGCCCTTATCATTCAACAGTGGGCCTGAAACAAATTAGAATTCTATTTTTAAAATATTGAAAAGGTACATTTAATGCCAAATCCATAAAAATAAAAAATAATAAGGACAGTAGATTGCAAAAGCAGTGTTCTATTATTAAAATGACATACACACACACAAATCTTTCGGTTTGTTAGGAGGCATTGGGGTACAGGATGCTCGATTTGATGCCTTTATTATCTTTTGTGAAGTTGACTCAACAGGTAACTTAGAGCCCAAATTTCAGTGACAAGATGGAAAAATCAAGGAGATTTTATGTTGATGTAAAACCAAGGATGGGCACCTTGGACCAAGTATGTTGACGTTATCTGACCAGGTGGACTGCAAAGCTCTGAAGAAGCTGTGGTTGAACTTCTTTTCCTTAGTGCCTCTTAAATTCTGAGTCTTTGTTGAATGTGAATCCTCCTGGAGGAAAGAGATGAAAGGAAAATAGTGGAAATAGTTGATTTGGGGGACAGCTCATAGCACTTATCCTAGCTCTTGGCCTGGATTCATTTTAAAGAGACAGGGTTCTTATGGAATCAGAGAATGTGTGAGCTGGGCGACCCCAGAAAATGATGCACACTCCCTCCCCTTTTCCACATGAGAAGACAAGGGTATAGCAAGATGAAGTGACTCACCAAAGCTGCTTGTTGGTAGAGTGATGGCAAAGGTGGAGGCTTCCTCACCCCTGGTCCTGGGTTCTTCTGGTTCATGCCCACCTGTCTCTCTCCTTTCCAACATGTGTGGTAAGAGAGCAGGACTCTCTTTTTCTTATTCATGGTCGAACCCAAAACAGTGCCAGGCACCAGGAGTTCCTCAAAAAATTTTGGTGGACTGAGTAAACCAGGCTGTTTCTTCATTCTTAATCAGGAAATGGGCCAGAAAGAAAGAAAAAAAGAAAGAAAGAAAGAAAGAAAGAAAGAAAGAAAGAAAGAAAGAAAGAAAGAAAGAAAGAAAGAAAGAAAGAAAGAAAGAAAGAAAAAAAGGAAGGAAGGAAGGAAGGAAGGAAGGAAGGAAGGAAGGAAGAAATAAATCAGTGGTTTGTAATACAGATTGATAAAGACAAATATTTGTGAAATTTTATTATGATAAAAGATTAGGCTTGGAAAGTAAATAATCTTGGTTTGAATCCTGCCTCTGCCACTCAACAGCTGTTTGGTTTGAGGTAAATTATCTAAGCTCTTTTACCTTATTTACTCATTCATAAAAATGGGGAGAGAACTATATAATTTAGTAGAAGGGACCTAACCATCTTAGGTATGTGTTGGCTTTTCTTGCTTTCCCATTCTTGTTGTCTGCTTTTCTTGATATTATACTTAATTTTTTTTTAAAGAAAGAGAGAAAGAATTTTTTAATATTTATTTTCCATTTTATTTCGGTGGATACAACATCTTTATTTTTTAAAAAAATTTGTATGAGGTGCTGAGGATTGAACCCAGCGCCCCACGCATGCCAGGCGAGCGTGCTACCGCTTGAGCCACATCCCCAGCCCCTTAAATTTATTTTTTTAAAATTTATTTTGTGCCACTTACATTACCTTGCAGGAAAAGTGAAATTATTCGAATAAACATATATTCAGTCACCAAATGTATACATTCTATGGGTTAAATATGATTAGTTTTATTTTATAATTGATTGGATTAATGTCTAAACATTAGCAAGTGGGAAGGAGGAAATCTAGGGTGCCCCACCCCACAATCTCAAGATCAGGGCTGTTTCTTAGGCTCAGATAACTCTAAAGTTGAAGTTAATTCCTTTTTTCATGTCCTCTCACAGCTCTGCTTAGCCCTGCCTCATGTGCTTTGTTGCATGAAGGTGCCCACTCTCCTAGCATGTCACAAGCTCTTTCTGGTAGCAGCTCTACCACCTCTACCATATCACTTCTTGATATGACTCCAGAGAATGGAGAATCCTCAGGTACATAGAATAGTCATCCCCAGGTACCCATGAGAGATTGGTTCCAGGACTCCCATGGGCACTAACATTTCTGGATGCTCAGTCCTTTAAATAAAATGGTGTAGTATTTGCTTATTTCCTACACACATCCTCTGCAAACTTTAAATCATCTCTAGATTATTTATAATACCTAGTACAATATAAATGCTGTATAAATAGCTGTTACATTATTTAAGGAATAATCACAAAAGAGTCTTTTCACATTTAGTACAAACACAGTTTTGGAAAAATATTTCCAGTCTGCAGTTGGTTCAATCCATGAATGTGTAGGACCACCTATACATCTCTGTCACCCTGTGAGCATGCCTAGTTTGTCTCAGTAAATATTCTGTGTCTAGGCCAAATATGGATTTACCTTAAAATTTACATCCTCTCTCATTTGTTAAACATACTCTTATTTTACTTTGATTATTGGCTCTATATGATATGATCTAAATGAATGTGTGGAGTTATATATTACTGTGCACAGTTGTATCTCTAATACAGTATATATATATTATGCTTGAAAAACAGTGTGTGAGGCTTTTTCTAAAGATTATTTTGACTATGCATGTGTATTCTTTTGTGTCTTTGAATCATAGCCTTTACCTCAAAGCACTCCATTATATTCATAAGACTGTACACTGTGTTGTATATAGCCAGGTAGGATCATTTATCAGCGAGGGGCATAAATTTTGTACCACACATTCCTGGGTTTAAATTCCAACTCTGTTTAACCTGTTGAAGCTCAGCTTCCACAAATATATAATGAGAATAATGATGTGATGTATGCCCAGAATTGCTGTGAAGCTTGCTGGCATATGGAAATTATTCAAATTACAATCCTTATTGGCTGACAGCATCTTTCAAAGGTTAGGGTCTTGAGTAATTAATTACTCCAGTGGTAATGGTTTGCCCCATTGCAGGGGAGTTATAGAAGTTAGGGGTGTGTTTATGCAGCTCTGGTAGAACTCACCAACAGATTGGATACTTCATAAACACACCCCTAACTTCTATCCTAGGCTGTCAGCAATAGACGACATATTGGACATTCTGTCTGCTATGGAACGAACAGAAGATACTATTTTTCATCAGGGAGTTGGGAACGTTTCTCACACCTTAGCATGAATCTGGAGGGCTTATTACAACACAGTGATGAGTCCTGTCCTCAGATTTCTCACTCTGGGGGGTAGCAATTAAATGAATTATATTTCTAATCATTTCCCAGGTGACACTGATACTGCTGGTTTGGAGAGAACACTTTGAGAACCAAAGTCTTAAATATTTACTTGATTTAGAGCAGCTGTGCATTTTCTCTCCTGTAGGGTACAACTGTGAGCATCATTTGTGGTCAAGAAAGGGATCTGACATTTACCGAGCACCTGTGACATTTACCATGGGCCAGGTATCTTACTTGCCACTTGACTCATATTATCCTATTTTATCCTCACAATCACCCTGTCAATCAGTTCTCTATTAGTTACTGAGACCCTATCATATATCATAGACAGTGTTATATCAGGTGCTGGGTATGTGAAATGAACAAGACAGACATAATTTTGACCTTCTGGATATTTGATTTCAGCAGGGAAGACTTGCTTGCCTGAGCCAAAAATTATAAAGGTGATTAATCTGATCCACAAAAAATAGAAGATCAGAGAAGCTGAGTCACTTGGCTATGGGTTATACAGCAAATGGGACAAACTTAAAAATCATAGACATGACTTCCACTAAACCAAAAATCCTTAAGGTTTTTTTGGTCTCAGGGCTCCTTTCCATTCTTAAAAATTATTGAAGACCCCAAACTTAAAAATTATTTAACGTTTGTTCATGTTAAACTACTGATTTTTACTATATTAGCCATTGAAACCATTTATTCTTTGAGAATGGCTGTAGTAAACCACACTACAAATTATAACATCTTTCCTAAGCTCTGAACCCTAATTTGGTTTGATAACTTTTGTGACCATGAAAATAGAAGAAACTTTTCATCTCATCTTACACTTATAGTTTAAATGCAAGGTCCTCTTTTAAAATTTGAGCCTACCTTTTCTGCTGAGGGTGACCTCCTCAAGAAAAGGCTGATCTGCTTTGAAAATGCCTTTTAAATTATTTAAATATTTATTTGTTTGTTTAAAGGAAAAGCAGCCTTTAAAGTGTCCATCCTGGACCAAGTTCAGACTGTTAGTGATGGACGGATTTCAGTCCTAGCTGAGAGCATTTTGACAGATAACAACTCATCCAAGTTTGTGACAAGCATTGCATTTGGGTCGCTTGGGGTACAGGCCACTGCAAGAGAAGCCCAGGGTGGCAGGCAGAGGGGAAAGAGATGAACGATTCAGATCCAGCAAGCGTGGAGGCTTTTCTGTGATGTTGAGCCATGTTTAATTGTGGGTTAACGACCGAAATACGGCCATTCCCCATCATTTTTATTCATTCTCTAACGGGAATGAGAAGTTCTAGTAGATATTTTCCTTTGGTGTGTAATGGCCCGTGGTTGTTCAGATAAGTTGCTGTTCCGGCTGACTCTGAATGCTTTATTGGTGTCGTTAAGTTTTACTGAGTAAAATCAACGGAATCGGAGCTGAAATGACTCAATGTGATTCTTGATTGATGATCAATAAATCCAAATCTCTCCTCATTTTTGTAGAAACAAGTGAATGAAGGAGGATGTTGTGGGAGGATCAGTGTGATTACTTAGGTCTACCAGGTCCTGGGATGAGAAGTTAGGAAAGAGAATAAGACGGCTGTCTGATGGTGGTCTTTTTGACACCAGATAACTGAAATCGCTCCCTGGGCATCTTTTAAAATGTTTATCCAGCTGTTTGATGTCACAGAGGCACAATCTGTCAACAAGACAAATGCCAAAAGAATGTGTTGCTAGGTCCTTGTTTGTCATCTTCAGTAGACGCTGAAATTCATCACGAAGTCTCTTTGCCGGTTGGCCTCAGGCAGCAGGGACCCCTTTGCATGGCATCTGTGTCTTTCTGGAGGGAGACACTCTCAGGAAGATCCAAGTCCAAGTGATCACACTGGCACTTCTCACTCCTTTTCACATCCCGTCAAGCAGGAGTCTGTGATGTGTCCCGTGACACGGAACGCCTCCTGCAAACTTCTCTGGCTGAGGTTCTTGTGCCATTTTTCAATTGTGAACATCTTGCTCAGAATTCTAAAGATTCTGACTTGATGAGCTCATGTGAACAATGTATTTCTTTCACTCTAAACGATGAACTCTGTTGGCTTTGCAGATTGCTAGAGATTGCTACAGATTGCTGCTTTTGAGATGCTTGCTGTTCTCTAAAGCAAGCACAAACATGGATGGTAGATGGTAGATGCGTGGGAGTGGGGGGCAGTGGGTAGGTTCTTTAGGGTCAGGGCTCATGGAAGACCACACCTGTTTCCTGACCCTACATGTCTGCTCTGAATTTGGCTTGCCAGACAGCTAAGAAGTCCAGAAATGGGTTTGGTGCCTCCAGCAGGAGTGAATGAGACTTATTTTCTGTGGGACTGTGATGAGAATTTGTATAACAGGTGAACATCACTTCCCTAAGCTGGGAGGAAGAGCTAAGACTCAATTAGGGAGGCTCAGTGCTTAGATACTTAGATGGAAACTCTGGCCCTCTTTGCTGGAATAATCAAAGAACAGCTTTTTTAAAAAAAATTTTTTAAATTTTTTTATACTTGCTATCCCTGGTCTATGAGTTTTATGAATAATTCCAATAGCTGGTTATAATGTATATTGTATATTTTACCTTGGGTTAAAAGCACACACACACACACACACGTATTTAATTTTTATGAATCTAAGAGAAGTGAAATAAGATCTGATTAAGGCAAACTTGATAACTGTAGCCCAAAAAAGGTCATTGTCAAATGAGATCTGTCAGGAAAGGGATCAACTATATAGCTCATATACCAATTCTAGCTTCTACCACAAAGAGATTTTTTTTTTCTCTTGGTTTTTGTAAATAAAGTTTTATTGGAACATAGTTATGCCTATTATCACATGCAGTTTCTTTCATGCTACAGTGGCAGAACTGAATAGTTGCAACAGAAATCAAATGGTCTGCAAAGCCAGCTATCTATCTCTTTGTAGAAAAAGTTTACCAAGCCCTGCATTTGGGGCATATTTTCTCCATATAGGAAAAATAGATAGTTTTCAAAATATCTAAGGAGATATTATTCTAAAATACAGACTAAATAACTAAGTGATAGATCTGTTGCTGTGTATTGTGAGAATCATGCACACAGTCGGTGCTTGGGGCATGAGTGTATATTGCTAGTTGAATGATTTTGTGGTGGTATCCTTTTTTAAATCAAGGGATCTTATTTAATCTCTGAAGATTCTTCTTATGACTCTTCTCAGAATATTAGGGAGAGAGGATGTGAAGCAAACAGAAACACCCTTGGTACCTCTGTGCTCTCGTGTACCAAAGTGACAGGCACAGTCTTTCAAATCACCATCAGTCAATTTCCTTAAGTATCAGATGGAATTATTAGGCAGATGCAAAAAGCTTGACCATCTGCTGCCACAGTGTTATTGAATATCTTACCTGGAGAGAAAAAAAAAAGGGGGGGGGGATTTAAGAATTGAGAGCATCAAAATCATGTTTGATGCGTGTTCTGAGTTGGTTTTGGGGGACAGAGTTGAAAAACCTGTTTATTGTTTGTGTTCGGCAGCTCTCTACATTGTTTTGAGTGTGTGAGTACAATCTTGGGCACGTTCCAGATGTACAGGGCTTCAATTATCAGCACCCTGTAATCCCCTACATTCCAAAATCCCAGGTGGGAATCACACTTCCACTAGTTCCCAAAATTATACCGAAGAGGAGAACTAGAAATTGACTATTTTGCGGGGACAGAAGGGGTCAAAAGAGATGATGATCACCTGGCTTTTATTGTATTCCGCCCGTGGGGGGGGGGGCGCGGATTGAGACTTGTCATCCTGGGAGAAAGACTCTTGTTGTACGTGAGATTTGGGTAGCTAACTCGTGATTCAAAGCATATGCTCTGCCCTCTTTAGGAAATGGAGTTCCCACTGCCCCTTTTCCTGAGGGGGTTTCCATCTGTTCAGCAATACAGATTTGACCGTGGGTTATCATTTATTAATTCAGACATTTGGGAGGGAGACACGCTGGCTGTGCAGAGATGCAAACAGAGCCCCGGCCTCGGCATCAGAATCCCGGGTGCTCCCAAGATTTCCTCCTAGGCACTCCAGCCTCCGGAGCCCTGGGGTTTGGAAGGAGCAGCCCTGCCTGCCTTCCATACATGGTAAGTGACTAATGGTGGCTGTGTGGAGCCCTGGGCTGAGGTGGGTGAAAGTCCACTCATAAGCTCTTGGCTTGCACATACAGGACTCCGGCCACTTTTCCCCCTTGGGAAGAGAGGGATAGAAGGGACAGGATGGGCTGACACTGGCGCGGCACAGTTTGTGCTGTTCTGACTCTGGTACCTTTAAGCTCCAATTTGGAATTGGTTTATATTGAGAGAGCTGTGACAGTGCTGGGAATGTGCTTAATGAAGTGTCACAAGTTTAAATGGCCTTTCCCAACAGATCTACAGGCTTTAGGGCTGGTGGGCACAGACAGATGACCCAAAGACATGTTGTATGAATAGACCTTGCCTGGTCTGAGGGGCAGCATTTGTTCCTTTCCAAGGTTTTGGTTTCTGAGGGCTCCTGATTTTTATTGAACTTCTGAAAATGTTCATCATGGAACTAGAGGTGGAAGGATTACATTTATAGTCACTTTATCAAAATAGCATAAGCTAGGCTAATGTCACAGTTCACATCACTGTGTCCAGTAATAGCATGATGACAAATTTTCCTGAACCCCCGATTTCCTATTGGTTATCTTTATCATTCTGTTATAAAAAGGAATGGGAAAATCATAAATATGCTTGTCAACCTTATATATATATATATATATATCCCCTAATAATATGCATTGTCATTCATCAAATTTATTTTTCAGATGTATCGTATCACAGACAGATGCCCTATGGAACCTATTACTTTGCATCAGTATATTTAAATTTGGATCTAAAGCAAGAGGAATTTGAATACTTCTGCTACTCATCATAAAGGGCATAGGGGGATTCTGTATGCAATCAGGATAAAGTCTTAGAATAGAAGTTCCTTTGGTGAGGGAGAGGACCATTTTTGCGGCTTGGAAATGAAGATGATAATATCTGGTCTCACCCAACTGGACATAATTTAAAACTTTAACATCCCTTCTTTCTGGCTTTATTTGTAAATGTTGATCCTAGCATTATGAACCTCAGAGCCTTTCCTATTTTCTTGTTTCACAACTCCTCAGGAATGTGCAAAAGGAAAGGTAATAAAGGAAAATCTTTTCAAGATAAAACATGATTCATAAAGGTGACAGCCATGCCATATGTGAACAGTGATTAACAGCTGCAGAGTCTGCAAACTGCTTTTTAAAAATAAAGTGATAAAGCAGATTTTCCCATTATTTTGTGTTTCGGTGCTTGCTCAAGTGTATCGCCCTGATTTTTCTGGGCTTCATTTTATTCTGTGGCAATGAAATCACTCTCCATGTCCCAGTGGCGTGTATAGGGGCTTACTTAAATATCTCACAGATATTTCTGGTTATTCATCCAGTGATATTTTACGTTTCATGACAACGATGTGGTGTATTAAAACCACAACCTCTTATACAACTGTTCATTTTGTTTCTGTAGAGTGAGTCTGAATGTTTGGAAGTGATAGTGTTTCCAAGGCTGGCCCACTTGGAATTGATTTACTTTAATTTAGAGATCCTCAGTGGTGCTGGGAGTATATTTAATGAAGTGTCACAGGTTTAAATGGCCTTTCCTTGTGGATGCAGGCTGCAGGGCTGCTGGGCACGGACAGTCAGACAGACACAAAGATGGGTTCACCTCTGAGAGGAAAGGTGGCTAGGGAAGAAAATCCCTATTTTAACATTCAGTTGTCATTTTAATAAAGTAGGTTAATTCTATAAAATGCATTTTTTAGGAAATTCAATTGTCTTTGCTAAACTAAGCAAGCACTCTTTGCTTGGTTAATAAGCCCCTGACAACTTGCCTTCCTTCCCCTTAGGGCACAGAGGGGTGGTGTTAAAATCATGTTAGGATCACAATTCCCTTGGATAATCTGCTCAAAACTGCTTTGGATAAATCGAAGATACCTACTTGTACATGTAAGTGTGCATCCAGTTTCAAGGGTTTACAGATCTCCCTGAAGTATAGACTTTCTCCCTTTCACATCAAGAACCCCTGCATGGTCTTATCAATGACAAACTTTAAAAAAAACAAACCATGTAATTCAACAATCACAATATTATAGCATCTCTGTTAAAGGGAAAAGGAAATGGTAGAGCTGGGGTCATTTGGGGAAGCCGGCAACCGTCTGGAGTTTTTTTTTTTTTTTTTTTTTTTAGCTTACCACAGAAAGCTGTGCATTTGCCAAACTTTGGGCATCCAATCATCATCTTAGGTTGTCTGGGGCACACTGTGTCCAGCGTCTTGGTCCTTGGAGTGATGGCCGAGCTGGAGGTGGCTGGTGGTGAGGGAGCCATGGCTGTGTGCCAATGAGTATCCTCAAAGGCAGTCCCCCCCACCCCCGCCCCATGGAGCCTCTGAGCCCTGCTTCCCTGATGGGCTGCCCGGGAAGCCGGTGGACTGAGCATGTCATGTGATGCCTTGGGACTAATAAAAGTAGAAGATCTCCCACTGCAACTTCTGGTGGAGGGCCCTCAAGCTTTTGCCCAAGCATCCTCCAGTGCTCCACACCCTGGGCTCTCCTGGGGCTGACTTCCAAGGATCTGTGGCTCTGTAGTCACAGGAGATGGTGGGTGCTGCCCGGTGAAGCTCCAAATCAATATTGGAAGTGATTCACACACAGCTTTATGCAGGGGCATCAGCGAGCTTGGAACTAACCTGGGCGCTGTGCTAGGTGCCCTCTAAAGTACCAAGAGCTATTTTGGAAATAGAAAAAGAACAAGTATAAAAATGGAAGATCCAGAAGTACAAGGGTAAGGTTTGTCCTCCATTTCTTCCTTTCTTCCTTTTTAAAATCCTCTCCCTTTCATCTTTCCTTCTACCTTTTTTTTTCTCTCTTTACTCCCATTTTTCTTCTATTTTTATTCTCTTCTCCTTTCCTCCCTTCTTCTATCTTTCCCTTCCTCATTTTCATCCCTTTTCTCATTTCCTTTCACCTCTCTTCCTTTTTTTTCATCCATTTTTTTTCTTTCCTTACCTTCTCCCTTTAGTTTGGCATATTCTCAGAGTGCCTACCAGCTACTATTTGTTCTTAACCTGCATGCAATTTTGATTCCCACTCTTTCCCAACACATCTCTCTTCATGCTACTGGGAGACATTTCTGCGCTGTTACCATCTCCAAAATCCTTTTTTCTCATTTGTCTTCCTCAATCTTGTAGTCTGTCAGCATATATCGAATACTCACCATGTGCTATTTAGAGAAGAAAGCTAAAATAATGGTGGGTTTCAGTCTCAGGAAGGTTCCAATTATATTTAGGAATCATGATGCAAGTAGGTGAAAAGCTAAATAACAGGGTAATAGTTACACAATATTGAAAAAGAAGAATGTGAGATGATACCACACAGGGTGGGCATTCTTGCCAGGTAAGTGGAATGAAGAATCTCTTGTGTTTCTAGAAAGGAAAAATTTTGTGATTTTTTTGTGGGGTGTATGAGTTTTAGAAAAGTCTTATAAAGAAAGAATGTTTTCCAAATAGGATTTTAACACTGAAAGAAGAAAGAGAGTTCCGATCCAACAAAGGGAATTGATATAAATGAAAGCTCAGTGGTATTAGTCTTTTTTTTAATTACCTTCATTCTCCAAGGAGAAGTATTTTCATCTCTGAGGGCTCCTTTGACTTTTCTACCACTTCTGGGCACTATCATCTCTTCTCTAGTTTCTTTCAAGTACTGTGTTTCTTCAGCTGGTGATGGGCTCGGGAGATTCATCCAGTCCATCTCAGACCCTACCTGAAGCCGTGAGTTGGTCACTTGATGCTGCAAGGCAGAAGCTGCCTGCAGTAGAAGGCTGTGTGGCAGAGAGAGCATTGAAACAGAGTTCCTAGTTTAGTGGTTGAAATTCCATCCTTTCAGTTGTGTCAGATCTTGGGTGAACCAAAGCACACAAAGTGAATGGTCTGACAAATTCGAGATCTCAAGAGAGCCTGGAAGTCAAGGATCTGGGTTGAAATTTCTAGTTTGGCTGGTCCATGCCGAGCATATCATTGGATATTTGTTTTCCTTTCAGTTGTAGTTTGTGCCCCCCTCCCCACCACTCCAAGGGATTGAACCCAGAACCTTGCACATGCTAAGCAAGTGCTCTACCATTGAGCTAAGTCCCCAGCCCCCCCTATTTTCTTTTTATTGCAGCGATTTAGAATTGAAAAGATTCTATAGATTGTTTTTTTCTTTTACGTTGTCTAATTAGGTTAGGAAATTTCTCCTGCTTTTCTGATTCATTGGTATATACATTTCACCAGCATTCTTGATGTTTTCATAGTAGATATGTGGTAGAAACTGAAACCAATTGAAATTACATTGTTTCAACATCCCCAATCCATGAAGGAATATCTTCTTGATATCATAACAGATCAATGAGCCTACAGATGAGGCAGTATTTCATATTGTGTGTGCCTCTGTGTATAGTCAGAGTATCCTTGTGGCATACTTGATAACCCAAAGAAATGTTGTGGGAAGAAAGTTAAATTGGCACTTATAAATATAATGGTAAGATGAATTTTTGCTCAAACTGAGACAAACGTACCACCTGAAAAGGCTGGGAACCAATGTACAAATCCCCTGTCATAGCGAAGACTGGATCCTGTAGGTGGAATGTAATGGGAATGTGCAACATGGTATATGTCATGGAGAACAATATCCAGGGCCTGATGCACCCTGGTCCTAGCTTCATGACTGGGTCTTTTCTGGAAGTGACTTGCACAAAATCTGGCTGAGACGCTGTGCTGTGGAAGTTGAAGATGCTAAGTTTATTCCCTCTGAGGCTGGCATTTCTCTGTGATTGTTCCATCTGATCCTTGAGACAGCTTAGCCCTCTCGGCAGCAGGGCTTGGGAGATAGAGGGGAGTTAAAGTCCCCTCCGCTCGTGACCTTTTGGTTTTTGCCCTTAAGTAAAGGAAATAATCCCTTTATCAAATATTTGCTGGCTGCTGAGAATATAAGTTTCTCATTGCTACATTTTGATTGATTATTGAAAAGTTCACATTCCAACATATCACCCATGATATGTGTATTGGGCATGGGTACGGGTGTCTAGGGGGTTGAAATACAGGATTCCTTTTCCTTCTAAAGACATCAGTCGATTTCTTGGACCTATGTGAACTTTCCTTCCCTTCCTTTCCTTCTCTGTGTACAAGTGCCATTATTTCCCTTCCTGGTTGAATGTGTAACCTTGTAGAGGAAGGTAGGGGCAAATATAAGCCTCACTGTACGCTATTCTCAAATGGTGTTGCTGAGTGGCAGTTTTGAGATAATTTTATTCAGCTTTGTATCTTATGAGTAAGGGAAACCCCAGCCCAGAGATGTGAAATGATTTGGACCAAAGTGATGTAGCAGATTAAAGATAAAACAGGATCTGAGCATAGATTCTGACTCCCTGACATAGATGTCTTTGCACCCTATTATGAAAACATGTTAGACAAAGAAGGCAATGATAAACAAATTAAATATTTAATAGGCAGAGTATATCAAACAGTGGTGTTCTGTATTTCATTAGGAGTAACAACAGAATTTTGAAGGATTTTTTTTTAAACAGGGGATAAGATTGCTTTCAAGAATACAGAGAGCTTTTATTGAAATATTCAGACTTGTTACACGTTACATTCCGAAACGTGACATAAATGACTTTGGAGGTAGAGAAAAAGAAGATAGACATTATCCAGTTGCTCAAAAACCATTAAATAATTGTTTCATGAATGACAGAAGCCAAGAACACAATATGTGAAAAGACAATACAATTATAATCCTCTCCTTACAACGTGGAATGCAGTTAAAACTATAATTAAACTACTTTTCCTACTTTCAAATGTCAGCGTTAGAAAAGAAGAAAAGAGATTAAAATAGTTGATGAATCAAAAACAGTTTAAGAAAAAGGAAAGGAAATGAAAAAAATCTGGGTATTGATGAAGGAAATATCAAGTGATCTAATGAACATGGTCATAACTTCTAGTCCAAGTTTGATAGTATCTCTTCCTCCTTCTCCTTGACCCAGACCTCACCCCAGTCACTAGGAAATTCAGGAGGCTTGATCCCTGCACTTCCCAGAAGCAGGATCTTGGAGATAAGGAGAGATGGAGGTTATGGGGCTGGGGAGTAGGTGGCTGGCCTTGGGGCCACTTGTTCTGAGAGAATACACCTTTCCCAGCTGTAGGCATCATTCCAAGGTCTGCCAGGCCCAGGCCACTGAAGAAGGGGCTTTATTTTCAGGGCTGCAGA